TTCCCCAACAAAAGGTAGTTGGTATTTTTCATGCAAAAATCAGTCCAATACGTTCTCACCATGAACTATTTTCGAAGTAATTTTTAGCTGAGGTTTTCTTATAAAGAAGTTTTCCGAAAAGATTGCTTCAAAAGAAATTCCATATTCCACTTTGAATCCAAACAGCGATTCCATACATTTTTTGTGACAAAACTAACTGCCGCTTAGATATTTTGAAAGGATTTAACAAAATTTTTTTTTCGAGCATGCTCCTTCCTTCTTTTCAACCAAAATTGGTAACAACAACATATGTCAATTTTTTTATGTGATACGTACCCAACCAGCTTCAGAGAGAATATAACTTGTGGAAATAACAAATCATGTGTCACTGCCTTTTGTTTTGTGTTATGAAAAGGAGTTTTGTTTTTTTTTTTTTTTTTGATACATATGTTCTCTACTCACTTAAATATCTGGGGGAGTGGGGGATCATTCCAAACTAACAACGACGATCCATCGCAAAAAATTTCCACCAAACGAAGAAATTATTTAAAGGAAAAAAATACGTACCAAGAATTGAGGTGGTGGCGATGATATATTGCATACGTACATGATTGATTGATTGGGTGATTGGTGATTGTGGTGGAACTATTTTGGTGGTGTTTGGTTGTGGAGAAAAAGGACCAAAATTGACACTATTATTGAAACGCAGACACACGCACGCATCTCCTAATAGGATAAAGCTGTAAAAATGTGTATCGTAAAGAAAATGGTGAAGTATTTTTTGGTTTTGTTTGTTTTGTACGTAATGTTTAATAATCAACTAACAACAATATTGTATAGCATATTGTGCTCACCAAAATTTCAAGTGGAACGTGGTCGGTCATCTCCTCACAGCTGGATATTATTATTTTTTTTATAATACGTACCCGAAAATCTAACAGTACAACAGGGTGGGGAAAATATACATCTTTTGGTGAGAAAAGAAATATCGAAAGAACAACGTACTTGAGGTGATCGAAAAAGCCATCATTTATATGTTATTCCATGCAAGTCACATACATTCTGAGTAGTATTTAAACTTTCAAAAAAATAAAATTAATGAAATAAATATTTTAATTTGTTTTTATTATTATTATTTTTTTTTGATTTTTCAATTAAAAATCTCTGAAAATCATGGAAATAACATTATAAAATGATTGCAAATTGATTTCACTCTTCTTTTATTATTTGCTCTTACCCAAGAAATAAAGCGGGATCGGTTGACTATGGTCGAATTTTTCTGTTTTGTATTTGCTACATGACTGAGAATCGAATGGATCGGTTTGGTGGAAGTCGTTTGTTTGGGCCTCTCATGCGCTTTCATTCAAAGCCTGAAATTAATGCTATACTACTTTAAAATGTTTCTGACACTACGTACCCGTCATTAGATTCAACTCGATTCAGGCCGTCTCTACGTACGAACGAACGAAATATATACTTCAATGGGTCTCGTTTGTTTGCTTACCACCACCCAGCAACCACTCCACCACCACCAGCACCACCTGTGTGTGGTTAGGTTAGGTTGGGAGACAGCAGCGAGAAAGTTTGTGATTTTATTTTTAAATCACCTCTCTAAATATCTCTCTTTTTCTTTTCTTCGTGGTTAAAATCCCGCAAATAGTTAAAGAAGAAAGAAACAAATAGCATTGATTAATGTACAAACATTATATTTAAATCTAAAATTAATGTTATTCTTTTTTTGTTTTGTTTTGTATGTTGGTGGTTGTTGTTTATGTTGTGTATGTGTAAGACTGTGTATGTATTTGTTTGAGTGAATTTTGGGAAATTAAAGAGATTAATTTATATATTTAAAAATATAAGACAATATCATTGGATAATATTAGAAAAATGGAAAACAAAATTTAAGTTTACATACGTGCTGCTATTGAATTGTCGTCTAGACTTAAAATTATGATTTTCTTATGAAGTTTTCTAAGCCAAGCCATCGCCCATAGCTGTGGATGTGACATCCTCTTGCTCTCTCCACACACAGACGTTGATGATGATTGATCTTGCCCTAATAGTGGGAAGTGTTTTGTAGCTTAACGACGATACCGGTCCCTTGAAGATGACCTTCTGCGGGAATTATAACTGCGTCCACGTGATCGGGAACGAGATCTTCTTCTATCGGGACTACCCCGACCACCGCCTCCAGCACCACCACCTCTACGTGATTCATTGCGATCTTTACGATCGGATCGTCCACCAGATGTGCCGGAGCTACCCCCTTCTCCAGCTGCACCACCGCCGCCGCTGCCGCCGCCACCACCACCACCTCGGCGTCTCTCTCGTGATCTTGAACGGTGCACACGCGACCTTCTATCCAACTCACGACCACCCACAAAGTAACGTGATCGCGACCGTTCACTATCACGTTCATGTATCTTGCCGGTACGCTTCAACTCTGCCTTGCGTGGTCCCGCCGTCTTCTCCAATTCAGCCAGTTTTTCCCTAATGGTTAAAAAGCCCAAATGCAACTTACCGCCGAAATGATCTGCCAACCGAATATCGTTATCATGTATTCCCAAATAGGCTGAGCACACTTCGCACACTCGTAACTTTTGCTGCTGGTACGTTGAGGCGGGCATTGATGTACGATATTCATGTTCTGCTTTGATTTTCTTTGCTCGCAGCTCATCGATTTCCTTCATCAGTGACATACTTTCTTCGACCTCACCCGCCTCACCCAACGCTTCGGCTTTGGCCAGTTTCTTGCCTATCTCTTCGGCCAATGCGTGTACAGCATTTGCCTTTTCCGCCACCTCGGCGGTAAGTTCTTCCTGTGTCTCCTTGAGGCGTTGTTTGGCCGCCTCTGTACGCCTGTCACAGTCAGCAATGAAGGCCTGCAAATGCTCCATTGCCTCGATGTCATAGTAATAATCTCGTGATTTTACCGCATTCTGGTAGTCAGCACGAAATGCCAAATCGTGTACCTTTGGGCACTCGCCCAAATCCATACGTGTCGATGCCAAGATGTCGTGGGGACAACAATCCAAAAGAAAACTCTTACACACACGAGGATCGGAGAATTTCAAGCCACGACCGTCGTCACCATTTCTAGTTGTGCCCATCAGTTGGTCAAGCATAGCCCTCATTTGATCCGTTGCCGACATCTTGGTTAATTACAATTTAAAGAGTTAACTAGTTTTTTTTTAATATTTTTCAGCAATTACAATTCTATAAGCTGTCTATTCGTCGATTTTTTTCATAAAAAAATGGAGAAATAGGGATAGGTAAGTCGACTATTGATTAATCGAATAATCGACATTTAGTACTCAGGGCTCTGAAACTCGACTATGGACTTTGGTGAAAAGCAAGTATTCGACTATTCATTGTCGAGTGTTTGACTTATCCTATTTTCGCATTGCAATTTCAATCACGTTCATATGTCACGATTCGTAATTCATAGTAACATAATTCCTTTTTTCAATTTTTTGGTTTGTTGATTTTTGTGTGTAAGAAATTACATGACAAATAGCTATGCACATTCGAGATTCAACATTATATTATATATTTCTTTGATTTTTTCAATTTTGAAATGTCGTAATTTCATCGTAGCTCTGAGAATGATTTGTTCGCTCAGAAATTTTTGTGTGGGGAATCAAGTAGATATTGATGGAATCACGTGCCATGTGAACTTAGCATTACTTTACTCACTGTATTTTTTTCAAATTCCTGTTCAATTAATGTGTCCAATACCAATGTCCTTGTTAAGGTGAGATGACTTGGTTGTGCTTCTTAAGCGCGCGCACTTCTGTCCTGTTATGTTGTAGCAGAACAGAGCGAACGCGCGTTGGAAACCAAATAAAAAAAGGCATCCCCAACGAAGCTAATATGGAGGCCAAAAAAGAATATTTGATAAAAATAAAGACAAGGCAAAATCCCGGGTTACTCTGTTTACGACTGAGACATGAGTGGTAAGTTAGCGGAGTTGCCGCAGCAAGTAAAGTGCGCAAATAGCAACAGTGTTGCCATGGTAGAAAAATACAGATGCATCAACGCTTGGGAATATTGATATATCAAAAAATTTAAATGTCTTTTCAAATTTAAGTAGGTTTTTATATGTTTTTTTTATACGACGTCATTCGGAGATTATTATAACAATTTGTTAACAATTTTTACAAATTTAAATAATTTTTCATTCAACATTTTCAATTCCAAAATTAGTTTGACAGTTCATTGTCCCAGCAGCTGTGTCGATGCGTCTACCTATATTCTTCTACCATGAGTGTTGCCAAACTTTGGTGCCAGATGTTTTAAATAGTACGTACAACGTAAAATGCCGTGGTTGGCACATTCAATGTTAATGTAGCAGTTTTTACTGAGTTTTATTAAAAGTAATGTAATAGCGCTTTTGTTCTATTAAAGATTAAGCGAGTGGGCTTAATAGATCTCGTGGGCTAACCTTGTGTGTTGAAATACACCCTTAGGAGGATATAAATTCTGTCACAGTACCTGTAAAAATCTACTAGTTTTGCAATTTTTCTTCGATTTTATAAAGGGAAAATCGGTTATCGTTGTAAAAACTTTTATATTCTTGCAGTTCTGGAGCAGACCATTTGTTTATTGTTTTATTTAATTTCATTAGGAGGAATGGGTCCCCTCCCCTAATCTTTTCTGGCATTTTCGTTTGTATTTTTTCGGCACAAAAACCAAAAATACATTGGAAAAAGCTTTATTGTGTTTGTCAACTAGTATATTTTCCAAAATATATTTTCTTTCGCCAAAATTCCAAACGAATGAAAAAATACCGTTACAAAAACAGGCTGTAAGTTTTGTTTTTTCATGTACTTTGGAACAACACTGTTCAACTGCTAATAGGAACATAGCAACACTCGACCATGTTCCCCCAAGACGCATGATATTATTCAATTGTACAGAGTACACAGACATCAAAGCGCATCGCCGTCGTTTTAAATACACCTGATAAGTTGCTGGCGTCGAAAAAATCGTTCCGCTTCGTTGTCTATTTCCAACGAGAATTTATTGGATATTATTTCTTTATATTTTGTTTGTAATATTTGAAATGTATTTTTTATTTAAAATATCTAGCTAGCTATTAAGTACATACAAATTAGTGCATACAAATTGAATGATATTGCCAAGGTGAAATCGAGGCATGCAATAAAATAATGATAATACATACTATGTGCAGATAGAAGCGTTCATTGCCAGAAGAATACATACGTCGCGAAGAAACATCATACAAGAAAGAAACTATAACTAAAAAATCAAAAAGTCTATTAAAATCTTCCAAATAATAACCAGCTGTAAGTTAATGAGAGTAATGACTTAAAAATTGCTTAAATGACTATTCAAGTGGGGGGTGTGAGCGAAAGTACCCTTGATTATTATTGCCATAATAAAATTGTTTTGCGAATTGTTTATATTAGTTTCTGATTAACTGTTATCGTTAATGATTAAATGCCTGGTGATGAAGAGATGTCTGTTTGTGTGCGTGTGTCTGTGTTCTTATTTTATTGTGCCTGAAATAAAATGTGTGTTTCTTTCTTTTTGTTCTTTAAACGACGTTTGCAGAAAATCATCCAATACGAATTGCCTTTGCATTAAATGTTGCATTTTTAATTGTCACACAACAAATAATACAAATAACGCATTGTAATGTCTGCACGTTCTGCCAATACCGTTTTGCCGCCAGCAGCAGACAGTGACAATGCTCCACGGCCTCCACCTCGGCGGCGAGCAGCTTCTGTTGCAGGTCAACAAAGACGCTTTTCATCACAATCAAGTCAAGAGTTCAGTGGCAGTGGGCATACACCAAGACGATCTTTAGCAACAGTGGTAAGTACTGAGTAAAACAAAGAATTAATTTTCGTACATGTTTTTCTACCCCTTCCCCCAATTGTTTTCTTAATAATGTAGGGGAGTGTGGCATTTAATTGTTGTTGCATTTAAGAAAACATCAAAAGAAGAAGATGCATTAAGCATAAACAATCAGCAGATGTCAGGTGTAGTGTAGTTGGGTTTTTTGTTTTCCTCTTTTGTTTTTGCCCAGTGACAGTCGTGAGAGTGTGTGCGTGTGCATGTTTCGTGTGTAGCAAAAACAGCTGTTCACTATTAGTAACCCCCAAACGAAAGCAATGAAAAAATTTGACAAGGGGGCATTATTTATTTTGGGTGGAAACCACCTAAGCAAGCACCACAATGCTCCCCCATTTCTTTCTCCGCAATAACAAAATAATCAGTGAGCGACGTAGATTCCCTCATTCATACAATTAGAGAGCGAGCAACAGCTCACATGACAGATGACAGTTGTGTAGTCATTTTTGTGGTCGTTTAGTTTAGTTAAGTTCACCGAGAGAGTAATAACGTCGTTTTTTGAACAAGTGCTGCTGTTCCTATCATTGCGCGAGTGTTTGTGAGTTTTGTCGGTCGAAATTAATAAAGAAAAAAAGAAAAGAAAAATTGTTACAAAAAATGTTAATAGTTTAATGGAGCCATTGAGGATTTGTTTAATGCCAACTTAAAATGATTTCACCATATTGCCCCTCCTAAACGTAATAAGAAAAGAATTTGATTAAACGGTTTTGTGCAAGCGAGAAATAAGTGGTATTATTTTGGCATGAATGCCTGAGTGAGTGTGTGTGTGAGTGCCATTTGTCAAAAGAAGTCGTATCTGCTCTTGAAAGATTAATACGAAATAATTAAAAAGCGAAGGCAAACGAAATGTTTTATTAAATTTAATTTAAAGAAAAAGTCCCTTAGCTAGCCATTAAAAAATTAATTAAATTGTATATGTGTTTGTGTGGCTGTCGGTCGCTCGTCAAAAAAGAAGTGTACAAATCATATGGGATTTTTAACAGGAAAATTAGTCATCCAACTCGTATCTAATGAGGGATTTGTAAAAGAAGTAATGCCATCATCATCACTGTTGACACTGTGCAATGACAGCCCCCCACGGTGGAATATTAATTAAATTATGAAATTAATTTGGATAATAAAATCCAAAGTCCATGCCACCCCTCGACAGAGTTAAGAACTTGGTATCGCCGCATAGGTGGAAATCGGAAATCTACAAATTAGTGGTCTAGAGCTGTTGCTGGGAAAAAATTGATCGATTGATTGATTGCTGGGTGGTGGTCGGTGGGCCATAAAACAAAGTCATCCCCAAAGTGTGTGCCTGATTAGAACCTACTTTTTTACATTAACAAAAATATACAAACAAAAAAGAATTGACAAAAGTCATTAGCAAAGACGACTGAAAAATAACACATTCCAATGAGAGAGGGAGATTTTAAAATAATTTGTAGTTCCCCCCTTTGTCCTACATTGCTTGGTCGTGTTGCTGTTGTTGATCATCGACGACAACGCATTGCCGCCACTGCAAGCAGAATTAGCCACCGCCGCCATCGTGCCATATAAACCAGTTTTGTTATTCTCCCCACAAACAACAGGCGTTTACGGGAAGGTACATAGGCAGGCCAGGCCAGGCAGGCACTCAGTCAGTCAACCATCCAGCCAGCCCAGATTTTTGAAGTACCTACCTTCTACTACTACTTCTACTTACTACGTTCGTCGTCGTTGTCGGTTGTTGTATTACGTTTTATGAATGCGTTTTTATATTTTTTAATTCTTAATTCCGATAATAAAAAGAGAGCAACGACACACACACGGTCGGTACCATCATAAAGCAGCGGAAGAAGGAGGTGGTATCCCTCCCCCTCTTCCCCCAAAAAGAGAACTAAGCAAACACAACAAAAGAGAGATAGAGAGACAGAGAGAGTGAGAGAAAAACGCCAACAAATTCACAACAAATACAAATTTCAAATTTGTTTTTTTTTTTACTATTGTTATTATTATTTCAACAATCTAAGTTTCAAGGAAACTTATTTGCAAATTGACTGAACATGGCTGAAGCTTTAGCCGAAGGACAAGTTCATGGTTACAGTGATGTAAGTAAAACGATAACAACAACAACAAAATTCATTATCCTTGACCAACTTCATAATACATACTACCTACTACCAACCTATATTGGTTATAGTATTTTTTTTTTCGTAGTTCGGAAGATACGAGTGGCAGGTTCATTAAAAATTAAAAATGAAAAAATGAGAAATGTCAACAACACCCGTCCGTCCGTCTGTCTGTCCGTCCAATCTCATTTCCATTGTCAGCCATATAGCTAGCTACTAGCCATCATCAACAGTGTCAACATTACCCCAGAGGTGATAGCTGATATTGGTATTTAATTACCCTGTTTGGTTGAAAATTGTTTTTCGTCGTTTCGTTTCTCTTCATGAACAATGGAATTAAACATGACCTTATACGCGTTGGAAGGAGGAGACATTTTTATGTCTGGAAATAAAAAACGCAGAAAATTGCATAGCAATTTTAAATTATTTCGATTGATGTCTAATCTAGGCGATTTTTTGTGCAAGGGAATATTTGAATAGAAATCCAAGGAAGCCGCTTTTTTCTTCAGCATGAGTTGTGAGGATAATAGGTTACAATATCTTCCAAATTTGCTATATATTTTTTCATCTTGACGATTTAAGCCCTCTACCGAACTAAAATTGTGGATCTTATCGCGTAAATTTTATAAGAATATTAAAGAAATTATTGTGCACATATTTATGCAAATACTGCGTAGGGAATCCTTAGGTCTTTTAAAGTTCTAGAGAAGACTATCTTCAGATCTATAAACGAGCATGTTATGCTCCATTTTTTTTGCGATAATTAATACAGGGTGAGATAAAAAACTGCAACAAATTCAAAAATCCATTTTTTTTTAAATTTTATTTAAAGAAAGCAAAAAATGTCGGAAAGAGTATTAAACTTTAGAATTAGTTTAGATTTGTTCGAATTGGTCACCTTTGGCACGAATTATGGCCTTCAAACGGCCAATAAAACCGTCAAACGCTGGCCGAATGTTGCTCTGCGGCATTTTGGCCCATTCCTGGTGAAGCGCTTGCTTGAGATTATTGACATTTTGGTATTTTTTAATGCCAACCTTGCTTTCCAAAATACTCCAGATACATTAGTCTAAAGTATTGGAATCCGGAGATTTTGGTGGCCATTGTGCGCTGGAAATAAAGATATGAACCTCATTTTATAACCATTCTTGGGTGGCGCGTGCGGAGTGCGATGGTTCTGAGTCCAGTTGGAATGTCCAAGGTCTGCGGCCAAAATGTTTGAGGGCTCAAGGCTTTAATTCACCCTTCAGAATATTTTCGCGATGATGCCACGGTCGATTAATACGAGCGGAGAGCGACCATCGGCTGTTTTTTGCGGCCCTCACCATCACCATGGCCGGCGCTTGAGTTCTGGTGGCCAACCGAATGTGATCATTTGTCATTTTGTTTGTTTACAAACTGCTGGACAACGAATGTTTTTTCATTGGAGACGGAGAAAACCAAATTCGGTAGTTCACCACTTTCGTTCGTCCAATCGAAGCAACTCTTTAGCTCTTTTGAGTCTATTTTCTTTCTGTTGCTGTGTAAGTTCTTGCACTTTTTGGAATTGCAATGGCTTTGCCCCGAGCTCATTTTTAAATGTTTGCCGAATGGAATATTGCGATATGTTCAGCTCACGAGCCATTTTTCGCACACTGCCACTCGGGTTTCTTTACTTTTCGAACCATTTCTGGTGATGTTGCTGTTTTTCTCGGCCAACTTCCTTGACTCCGCTACTGGCTACGCTACGAGTATCACGGTAACGAGTGATGGTACGAGATACAAAAGATTTATTCACATTTAAATTCTGGAGTGCTCCGACGATAGCCACTTGTGGGTTTCCAGCCAAATATAAAGAAATCACACTATAACGCTTGAATTCCATCACGAATAACTTGTTTTGTGGAAAATTCTCACCAAAATGCTCATGTACGGTTGTACACAATATAATGAGCTGTCACTGGAATATAGCTGTCGGACGAATGGCTTAGAAATGAAAGAAGTCTGAAGTTGGTTGCAGTTTGTTCATCTCACCCCGTATTTCCAAAAGAGTTTTTTTTGCAATCAAAAATGACTCCCGTTTTAATGGTATTTAACGTGATTTCTTTTTGGGCCGCCTTACTATCGACATATATGGTCATTGATCCTGTTATACAATTGCATTCTTGATTTCGGGAGTCTCTGCCTGAAAAACGCAACAATTTCATCAGTATTTATATTTCTAATAGTGAAATAAGGACAGAATACGCCAGTACCGGTGCTATTATCCATCTTGAATACGTTTGTATAATATAGCTAGACCTTAGAAAGGGATTCGGCCAAGCCCAACTTCCCTTGAAAAGGTGGTCATTTATATTTATTTTCAATTAATACAGTTACCTAGCCCATAGGGCGATGGACGGTCCCAAAAACTTCTATACATAATTACTCTAAATCACTTATTTTATCACCTTAACCTAAGGTATTTCGAATTATTGATATGTCTAGGCTTGGTGCATGACCAAAACGCGAAAAGTGCAATAATAGTGTAATGTTTTTATTAGTCTTAGTAGCTTTAGAGCTCTCCTTGCTGCTTGAAACTGTGCCAGAAAACCCTATAACTGGAATTCTATCATCACTCAATCGGACATTAAATAAGATCCTTAATTTGATTACAAAAATACATGAACATACGGGCATGCACAAATTTACTCAAAATGTGATTCTATGCAGATCATAGTCTATCTCGTTTCTTTTTTGCATGCAAGAAATGCTAAAAGACATAACAGTGTGTACCACAATTGCAGATGGCCGACCCATTGCCACAGCTCACATTTTTTCATTAACTCTTGCATACTATTACAACTTTCCTTCATTCGAAATGCTTGAAAGATGGTACAGATCGGACAATTTTTTCTGGTACCTCCCCCACATTGGGGTCAAGATTGCGAGAAATATTTTTGCTAACGAAAGATCTGATGTGAAGATTATATATGTCTGCGAACCCCTTCTGGTACCTCATCCACAAAGGGTCACAATTTCCAATACTTATATCTGTCGTAACTTGCGAAAAAAATCAACGATTCTTTACAACTTGGTATATCTAAATATTTCTCTTAACCAGAAGTCTTATATATAGGATATAAATGTTCGATTTCCTCCAATTTTTGCACATACCAATACCTTTATCTGTGTTAGATGAAACATGAAAATGGAATACTTCGATTTGCTATATCTGTTACCTCTCGCATATTTCCACATTTTCCAAAAAATTGCACATATCTCATATATATACGTATAGGAAGTAGTCGATATAGTCAAAATCTGGCATGTTGTAATGTTTTTATCAGTCTTAGGTCAGATACGAATTGGTCAATATTGGCCAACTGCTTAGGAACCTCTCCCATCATCATCTGGGTCATCTGTCGACAAAACCGAATGGTATTATATCACTTGTTTTTATACCCTCCACCATATTATGGAGAGTATATTAAGTTTGTCATTCCATTTGTAACACCTCGAAATATACATTTTAGACCCCACAAAGTATATATATTCTTGAGCAGCATAAAATTCTTTCTCGATTTAGCGATGTCTGTTCTTCTATCCGTCTGTTGAAATCACTATAGCTGAACGAAATGAAGTAAATTGACAAAATTTTATTCCAATGTATATTATGGACTTTTGGTATTGAAAATGGGCCATGTAGGTCCACGTTTGGGTATAGCCCCTATATAACTGTAACTCCCGATATTGGGTATTTTGATGATTTTAGCGACATTATCCACCGGAATTGTTTCAGATTTTGAATTTGAAGTTCGGAATAGAACTACAGTCTAAGACAGATAATTGTATGTGCAGGTCCACGTCTTCGTATAGCCCCCATATAACGGTATCTCCCGATATTCGGTATTTTGTTGATTTTAGCGACATTATTCATCGGAAATGTTTCAAATTTGGTATTTGAAGTTCGTAGTGGATACTACAGCCTACGACAAAAAATTTGTCCGTGCAGGTCCATGTCTTCGTATAGCCCCAATATAACAGTACCTCCCGATATTTGGTATTTTGTTGATTTTAGCGACACTATTCGCCGGAATTGTTTCAAATTTGATATTTGAAGATCGTAATGGAAGCTACAGCCTATGACAGGAGACTATCTGTGCAGGTCCACGTCTTCGTATAGCCCCCATATAACTGTACCTACCGATCTTCGGTATTTTGATGATTTTAGCTACATTATTCACCGGATTTGTTTTTTAATTTGGTATTTGAAGTTCGTAATGGATTCTGCAGACTATGGCAGAAATCTGCCTTTGCAGGTATACTTCTTCGTATAGCCCCCATATAAACGTACCTCCCGAAATTTGGTATTTTGATTATTTTAGCGACATTATTCAACGGAACTGTTTCAAATTTGGTATTTGAAGTTCGTAATGGATACTACAGCCTAGGGCAGAAAATTGTCTGTGCAGGTCCACGTCCATCATATAACTGTACCTCCCGATATTCGGTATTTTGATTATTTTAGCTACATTATTCACCGGAATTGTTTCAAATTTGGTATTTGAAGATCGTAATGGATACTATAATCTATGACAGAAAATTGTCTGTGCAGGTCCACGTTTTGGTATAGCCCCCATATAACAGTACCTTCCGATATTCGTTATTTTGATGATTTTAGCCACATTATTCTCCGAATTGTAATGAATTATGATAAAAGTTACCTATGCAGGTCCATTTCGTCGTATAGACCCTAATATAACGGCTACATTCGGTATTTTTAAGATTTAAAAAAAAATTTTACGGATTTTTTTTTTTTTTTGAAAATTGCCAAATTCGTTCCAATTGGTGGATTGTATTCAAAGTTCGGCCGACCGAATGTAAAGCTTTTTACTTGTTTCTTTTTTTAATTTCGTTAATGCTGTCCTAAAACCCTTATCTCTTTTGCCTTGGAATTTAGCATAAATAAATGTAAATTTCCATAATTTCAAATGTTACCAAAAGATATTGTTGTTCTGTTTACAAACTTTAGGTTTTTGTTTGTTTACATTATTACAAAATCAAGATAAACCCCGACCGACCACGTGTAAATGTGGCTTTTTCAAATTCACCTAATAATAAATGATATAATTGCTATTAGCAAATTAAGTAAACAAAAAAAGTTAATAAATTAATTGAAGCAACAAAACATAGGTATCTATACATTGTGTGTGTGTTTTTTTTCCTCACCAAATCATTTCACACTTTCGATATATCTGACGAGAACTATGTTATGGAAATGTTATTGATCTTTTGGGTGTAAAGGAAGCATCGGTGTTCTTTGTTAACTGCGGCAAACGAATTAAAAAAAAAACTTTTCAAGGTTGATTTGTTTATAATAAACAAAATATCTGATGATATCGAACTTTACAAGATCACATTTTGGTTGGGGATTGTGGACTTAGGTTTTTTGGCTTTTCAGTCAGATTTGAGCAGGGGAATAGAGAAAACCTAGCCGATTTCATATGAAATTTAATTCTATTTGTATGCCTTCCATTGTTATTCTTTCTAATTACTATTAATTGGTTTTTTTCTTTTCAGAATGACACCACTGACACATGCCACTTACGTATAGTTATAATAAATGGACAGTCACTGGCCAAAAAGGATATATTTGGAGCAAGGTATTTATTGGAGATCACACAGAAAATATTTTCAATTAAACAACTCTAATGTTTTTTCGATTCTTCTGCTTTCCAGTGATCCCTATGTCAGAATAGATTTGAATACCATAAATGGAGACATTAACATAGATTCGGTTTTAACCAAAACTAAAAAGAAGGTAAGAAAGGTGAATATCATATTGGCCCACTTGGTGTATTCTAACAAAAATTAATATCGTTTACATTGCACACATAGACTCTAAATCCAACATGGAATGAAGAATTTGTATTTCGGGTAAGTTGAAAATCTCCAATTTTTTCTTTAAGCCTCAATTATGTATTCCATTTTTATCCGTTTGCTTCCAGGTAAAACCCACAGAGCATAAGTTAGTTTTTCAAGTATTCGATGAAAATCGCCTAACAAGAGATGATTTTCTTGGCATGGTCGAACTTACATTGGTCAATCTGCCAACAGAACAAGAGGGTCGCACGATAGCACCCCAAAGTTATCCTTTGAGGCCTAGAAGGTCAGTAGGGTATGTTTATTTTGGATTTTTTATTATTTAATTTCTGTTGTTTTTTTTCTTTTTTCCTATTGATTTGTTCCACTGTGAGCGAGTGTTGAAACAAAATCTATCTAAGCCAGTATTTCCAAAATCAAAAAAATATATATTTTTTTTATTCAAAACGGGTAGTATTTAGTTGAATTATGTGTTTGTGTTTTATTGGTTTGTCACAAATCATCCTGTCTTATCATTTCCTTCATTATTATTTTCCATCTAGTGTTATTGTTTAAAATGTGTATTTTGTTTTATTTGTTATAATTAATTTAATTAATGTCATAGTTGACCCTATTTACCTTATGTCCTACACTGAAATGTTGCAAAGGAAAAATGTGTTGTACTCTAAACAACCTGAAAAACTCCCCATGCAATATTTCCGTGTTTGACACTTGGGCAGGGAAATAGAATAATTGTCTGTAGAGTCTAAATATTAAAACATAAAAAAATAATCAATCAATTTTATCTACCCACAAAAAAAAAAAAAAAAAAAAAAAAATTCAAAAAAAAAAAAAAAAAAAACTATAGCGCCAAATCCCGCATCAAAGGAACCTTGGAAATCTATCATGCATTTATACATGAGCAAAGGGAAACGGTTGAACCGGATACCAGTACAGGTGAATGGGAACATGTGGAAAATGTTTCAATGACAGGAGCAGCACCGGCGGTAAGTATACGATTTTTGTTTTCATTTTTTTAGTATTTTTTGAAAATAACGAAATTATTGTTTTATTGTAGAATGCCTTTGTTGCCAACGGCGGCAGTCATCACGATCCATTGCCACCCGGCTGGGAGGAGAGACAAGATGCCAATGGTCGAACGTATTATGTAAATCACACCGCTCGTACAACACAATGGGAAAGGCCTACAACGTATGTAAAAAACATATTAAGAAGTATTTTTTTGTTTACAATACCCTCCAACATGAGCAGTGAGAATTTTACTACACTTTCAAATCATTGGAGTTGTAAATGTGGAAATCTAGATGTGAATTTAGTTATGAAAAAAAAAAGATGGGATAAAAAAGGATTATGGATTAAGTTTTTAGAATCATAATCTACGATTTACGTCTGATAAAGATGTTAGAGTCTATCTCATATTTGTCCATACAATAGCTTGACCATCTTCAAATATTGTTCCGGGTTCTGTTACTGTTGAGCTTATACGAAAACAACAAATAAGTACCAATACAGGGTGAGATAAAAAAACTGCAACCAACTTCAGACTGCTGTCATTTTTAATCTCCGCGTCCGACAGCTGTTAAAATTATTCCAGTAACAGCATTTGAGCATTTTCCAGAAAAAAGGTTATTGGTAATGGAATTCAAGCGTGATATATATTTATATATTTTGCCGGAAAACCACTAGTGTTTTTTTTTGTGTCTCGTACTATCGCTCTTTACCTCGTAATACTGGTATCGTAGCCCTAAGTCAAGGAAGTGGTCGGAAGAAAACATCAGCTGAAATAGTTCGAAAAGTAAAGAAGCGACCTGAACGAAATCCGCGACGCAGTGGCCGAAAAATGGCTCGTGAGCTGAACGTATCGCAAAATTCCATTTGGCACATTTTAAAAAATGAGCTCGGGGTAAAGCCATTGAAATTCCAAAAAGTGCAAGAACTTACACCGCAACAGAAAGAAAATAGACTCAAAAGAGCTAAAGAGTTGTTTTGCTTTGCCGAAAGTTGTGAACTGGCGAATTTGGTTTTCTCCGTTTCCGATGAGAAAACATTCGTTGTCCAGCAGTTTGTAAACATACAAAATGATCGTGTTTACTTGCCAAAGAGAGCAGCTGAAAATGTGCACTTTCGGTTGGACACCAGAACTCAAGCGCCGGCCATGGTGATGTGATGGTGTGGGCCGCCATAACAGCCGATGGTCGCTCTTCGCTCGTATTAATCGACCGTGGCATCAGAATAAATGCCGAATATTATCGCGAAAATATTCTGGAAGGTGTGTTAAAGCCTTGGGCACACCAACATTTTGGCCGCAGACCTTGGACATTCCAACAGGACTCAGCACCATCGCACTTAGCACGTCAAGCACCCAAGAATGGTTACGAAATGAGGTTCCTCGCTTTATATCCAGCGCACAATGGCCACAAAAATCTCCGAATACCAATCCGTTGGACTATTGTGTCTGGAGTATTTTTGGTTTGGCAAGGTTGGCACTAAAAAATACCAAAGTGTCGATCACCACAAGCAAGCGCTTTGCCGGGAGTGAGCCAAAATACCACAGAGCGACATTCGGGCAGCGTGTGACGGTCTCATTGGCCGTTTGAAGGCCATAATTCGTGCCAAAGGTGACCAATTCGAACAAATCTAAACTTATTCTAAAATTTGATGCTATTTCCGACATTTTTTGCTTTCATTCAAAAAAATTTAAAAAAAGATAAAAATTATGTCGTTTGAGTTTGTTGCAGTTTTTTATCTCACCCTGTAGAAGTTCATTTGTTACAGCTAATATTGGAGGGTGTAAACATAATATCTATTTTTTAGTCGATTTTGTTCCGAAGAAAAAAACTTATTTTAAAATGTCCTTTACTTCTTTTTCAGAATGAATACCAATCATGCTAATATAAATATGGAAGCAGCAGCTTCAGATTTCCAAAGACGATTTCACATTAGTGTGGATGATTCAGAGACAAATCGTTCAAATGTAAGTATACAAATTTAATAATATATTAGCAAGGGAGAATGGTATTTCAACACAGGTGATTAACAGGAAATTTAATATTTATGAGGAAAAAGTGCGTTCGATTCAAGACGATTTAATTTTTTTACATTCCAAAGCAGTGAATTTTAAAGCAGCTCTTCTAGAGTATACTTATATGTATATGTTTGTTCACAAATTATTCTATTTAACATTTATTTTGCAAATCAGTTCGGCAATAGCATCAATGTTAGCAATAGTAATGATTGTGCCAACACCCTAAATCAAGGCAGTATTTCCGATACAAGCGTTCGGCGTTTTAGTACTTATCTATGTAGTTCGTTGAGCACCGAAAGCAGTACGAGCAATGAGAGTGGTGGCAGTGATGCTGCAGCAAGTGGTGAAATCTGTTGCGAATGTGGTATGGTACATTATAGCTCCGATGATGATGGCTTGGATTCGGATAATAATAATGGTGATAAGAGGACAAATGCACTAATGACTTGCCATGGTGGCCATCAACAACATTCGTCGTCGTCATCGTCTTCGCATCATCGCAATCGTAGAGCATCACATAACGATATACTCGATAAAAATTTACATCTGGATCGTATCTTTGTATGTGTGGAAGTTTCTCATTTTCTCTCTCTCGATGTTATTCGTTTTATTCACTCTGCTGTACTGCTCGGCTAATAGATATATTCCTTGTTTTTTCTGTATTGCTAAGTTTTCCCCCATGCCTCTGAAACATGTAATTGATGCTGTGAACATTTTCATTTTATATAGGATACATTAAGCCTGGCTAGTAGTACCGAAGAGAATACCGCAACAACAACAAATAGTATTACACCATTAAGATCTGCCAACACCAATGAATCCTCCTCCTCCTCCACCTGTCCCATCCATCAAAATAATAATAATGATGGTAACAATAATGCTGATGATGATGATGAAAATGACAATGATGCTGTCATTGATCCCACGACGGAAGATCATCGTATCAGGTTGTTGAGCACCCATATTTACACTATTCACATGCAAATTATTCACAACATTAAGAAGTCAATATTGATAATTAGTTCTAATTTCAATGAAAATTTTACTTACGGGTTTTATATCCTCCACCATGCTAGACTACATGGAAAGAACTCTATCGGCAAACTTTCCTTGGGCTCCGGAAAGTTGAATCTTTTTAAAGGATATGAGAAAAATCATATTTTGTTGATAAGAAACACTTTTTGGATACTTTCCAGCCCACTAAGAGAGTCTTACCTGTTCCTTAAAGTGTGGTCAATAATATTTTTATACTCTCAGCCATATAGCTAGAGAGGGTAGATAGCATTTGATACGGCCAAAACGTGCCTCATTGAAATCACGGTTTTAGACTCTAGGTCTCTTTGGACCAAATCCGTTTCAGGACATTTTTAGGACTTTGGAGACGATCTACGGATGTCCGTCCGTCTGTCTGGCTGGCTGATGGGCACGATAACTCCCGAAGAGAGTATCCGATTTGATCCAAACTTCGAATATGGTAATATTATTTTCAAACATAGATCGAGTTTGAAGGTGGGCAATATGGGTCCACTCCTCTACCTCCCCCACAAAATGTCAACATTTTCAAAGGAAATAATTTATTGCACAGAAAGAGAAAGGATGAAAAGAATATTTTCAGCAGTGCTACGTCAAGTGCGAAAATGGACAATATTGGTGCACTGCTTCTCTTACCTCCCGCACAAAGGGTAAAAATTTTGAATCTTCATGACGCTCATAAAACACGAAATTAACACCCGATCTCAAACTTGGCACATCTCAATTTTTCCATCAACGCAGGATCTGTTATAAATGTGGTAGAGATCGGATCATTCCTACTGGTACCTTCCACACAAAGGGTTAACATTTTTAATAACCAAAGCGATCATAAAATCCTAAATAAACATCCGGTTCTTTTCAAATTACACACATCACAATATTTTTATTGAACCGAGGTCTGGTGTGAAGACGAAATATATCGGTCCACTCCTTCTGGTACCTCTTCCACAAAGGGTCAAATTTTTGAATACTCATGAAGCTCATAAAACAAGAAATTAACATCCAATTCCATTCAGACTTGGCACATCTCAATACTTCCATCAACACAAAATTTGTTATAAATATGGTAGAGATCGGAACATTCCTACTGGTACCTTCCCCACAAAGATTCAAAGATTTAAATAACCAAAACGATCATGAAAAGCGAAATGAGCATCCGGATTTCTTCAAACTGCGCACAGCACAATATTTTTATTAACCCATGGTCTGGTATGAAGATGGGATATATCGGTCCACCCCTTCTGGTACCTCCCCCACAAAGGGTCAAAATTTTAAATTTTCACGAAGCTCATAAAACACGAAATTACATTCGATTTCAATTAGATTTGGCGCATCTCAATATTTTTATCAGCCCAAGATTTGTTATAAAGATGATATAGATCGGACCATTCCTACTGGTACCTCCCCCACAAAGATTCAAAGATTTAAATAACCATAACTATCATTAAATCCGAAATAAGCACCTGGTTCTCTTCAAATTACACAAATCACAATATTTTTAATAACCCAAGGCCTGGTGTAGATGGAATATATCGGTCCATTCCTTCTGGTACCTCCCCCACATATGGTAAAAAATTTGAATATTCATGAAGCTCATAAAACACGAAATGAACATCCGATTCCATTCAGACTTGGCACATCTCAAGATTTCCATCAACCCATGTTCTGTTATAAATATGGTAGAGATCGCATCATTTCTTCTGGTACCTCCCCCACAAAGGGTTAACATTTTGAATAACCAAAACGATCATAAAAACCGATATAAGCATCCTGTTTTTTTCAAATTGAGCACCGCACAATATTTTTATTAACCCACGGTCTGGTGTGAAGAGGAATATATAGGTCCACTCCTTCTGGTACCTCCCCCATAAAGATTCAAAGATTTTAATAGCCAAAACGATCATAAAATCCGAAATAAGCATCCGGTTCTCTTCAAATTGCACACATTACAATATTTTTATTAACTGAAGGTCTGGTGTGAAGATGGAATTTATCGGTCTACTTCTTCTGGTACCTCCCCCACAAAGGGTCAACATTTTGAATAACCATGAAGCTCATAAAACAGGAACTTAACACCCGATTCCGTTCAGACTTGGCGCATCTCATTAATTCCATCAACACAAGATCTGTTATTAATATGGTAGAGATCGGACCATTCCTTCTGCTACCTCCCCCACAATGGGTTAACATTTTTAATAACCAAAACGATCATAAAATCCGAAATAAGCATCCGGTTCTCTTCAAATTGCACACATTACAATATTTTTATCAACTGAAGGTCTGTGTGAAGATGAGATATATCGGTCCACCCCCTCTGGTACCTCCCCCACAAAGGGTTAACATTTTTCATAACCAAAACGATCATAAAAACCGAAATAAGCATCTGGTTCTCTTCAAATTGCGTACAGCACAATATTTTTATTAACTGAAGGTCTGGTGTGAAGATGGAATATATCGGTCTACTTCTTCTGGTACCTCCCCCTCAAAGGTCAATATTTTGAATAATCATGGAGCTCATAAAATACGAATTTAACACCCGATTCCATTCAGACTTGACACATCTCAATATTTTTATCAGCACAAGATCTTTTGTAGAGATGGTAGAGATCGGACAATTTCCTCTGGTACCTCCCCCACATAGGGTTCAAGATTTTGAAGAACAAAACGCTCAAAAAGCGAAATAAGCATCCAAATCTATCCATCTATCTTTTCATATTTCCCACATACAAACATTTTTGCTAACACAAGTTCTGTTGTAAAGATGATATACATCTGCCAACCCCTTCTGGTACCTCACCCACAAAGGGTCTTTATTTCCAATACATATAGCTTCATAACTTGCGAAACAAGTCGGCGATTCTTTACAATTTGGTATATCTAAATATTTCTCTTAACCAGAAATCTGATATGAATGTGTAATTTATCGGAATTTATGATTTCGCATAAAATTGGATATAAATGTTCGATTTCCATCAATTTTTGCACATACCAATATTTTTGTCTGTTTCTGATGAAGTATGAAAATGGAATACTTCGGTCCGCCCGCTATATCTGTTACCTTACGCATTTTTCACTTTTTCCAAAAAATTGTACACATCTCATATCCAGTACAGGAAGTAGTCGATATAGTCCAAATCTGGCACGTTGTAATATTTATATCAGTCTTAGGTCAGATACGGATTGGTCAATATTGGCCAACTGCTTCGGAACCTCCCCCATAAAGAGTCAACAGTTTGAATAATCATAAGTCAAGGCTGGGCGTATACATCTGTCGGCAATACTGACTGATACTGATTCACATTTTTAATGACAATACCATGAGTGGAGGTTATAATTTAATGCCGTTTTTTTGGTTGTTTTTCCATGACTTTGTTGTGAATAGTCGATCTAAAGAAATTTCCATTTTATTATTAATTTATGTTTAATAACCGAGAGTGGTACCTGAATTTCAATAGATATTTATACAATTCCCTGCGACATCCGACAAGCCGGCTTGAAATTTCGGCAACATCTTTACTAAATGATTTAAGGCCAGTTCGACAAATAAACGATCCCGATTATACAATAGAGCGGATAAGGTTGGTTGGATTCTATGAATCAATATCGAAGAACACAAACTTTTCTCTCATGGCATTTTTTCGCATAAATGAATTTTTCGAAATTTTCAAAATGCACTTTAAATATTTTACAAAATTGCACAACACTAACGTATCACTCGATTTGGAACAACTGACTGTGAATAGCTTTTATGTGAATAGTGTAATTTGGGAGATTTTTTTTTCACCAAAATTAACACCGATAGTTTTAAATAAATTTTTGCTTTAATTAGATTTCCAAACGGCCAACCCTTATCTCGACAGGCATTGGAAAATTTACGCAATCGCAATAATTCGTCAGGACAAACATTTAGAGAGTCATCGGTTTGTAAAATTTTTATTTCTATTTTATTTTTTGTGAAATATTTTCCATTGAACTCACCTTAAAAACCAAATCGCCACTAATGAAAACAAACTCTGTTCTCCGTTGTCTCATTGTCTTTTTTAATTTTGATTTTCACAAGAAATGTGTTCTCGTCGTATTTTTTCATATTTGTTTGTCAATACTAAAATGTCCCTTGCGGTTAATAATTTTGTAAGATGTTCGGAATTTTAAGATCATGGATTTTCTAAAAGAAACCTATTTCCAGCCTAAGAACAGGATTACTTAGAAGCTAAGGAAATGAGTAGCATTTGCTTAGAGTTTAAATATTTATTGATGCTAATTATGTTAATTTAAGATATGTTTCATCCAGACCTAACTAGGGCCGTAGGCTCCACGTACCCCGTTTGTCTTCTGGGAACTGAAAAAAATCCCTGTTCTCCTTTACCCATCATAGGCAGATCTTGCCTTTACGAGGAAACGGAAATGTCCTTCATTTGTACTGCCGATGCTAGATGGGGTCACGCTGAACCTCTCCTCTGAAGCCAAATAACTCGGTACCATCCTCGACCGCCAACTAAATTGGAAGAGGAACACCGGGGAACGTGCAAGGATAGTCTTAATTGCACTCTATTCTTGCAAGAGCTCTATAACTCTGGGGACTCAAACCACTCATAATTAAATGGGTGTATTAGTCAATTGTTTGCGCAATCCTATCTTACGAAGCTCTAGTCTGTTGGCATTCCTTGACCAAGTCATCTTATTTACTTTGCATTGACAAAGTACAAAGAGCTGCATCCCTACTAATAGCAGGTGCCTTCAAGAGCACACCTTAGGCTGCACAGGACACCCAATTGTGCTTAAGCCCACTAAGCATACACGTAGAGGAACAGGAAATTACGTGTGCTCTTCGACTCAGAAATCGCAAACAATAGCGCAGTCAATCCTTTTAGACATTCTGCGATCTTAGGGCGTGTAAGGAATGTGAGAGTGGAAGCCAACACAAGTGATTATATTTCACCACGGTTGAGATTTGAACCACCTGACATCGACGCCTGGGCCCGAAGCAATTCTCCTTTCCGTGGCATAGCTGTTTATACTGACGTTTCAATGATGGCATGCGGAGCGGGAGCTGGTGTCTTCCGTGGCACTCTCAATGTTCGTGAATCCTACAAGCTCAGAAGCGACGTTAGCGTGTTCCAGGGTAAAAAAACATAGACTTATTGGTCACGAGGAACAACGAGGTTAACGGCCCGGTGACTATATATGTCGATAGCCAAGTGGCATTGAAAGCTTTAAACTCCTTTACCACTAAGTATAGGGCTGTTTTGGAATGCAGTAGATCCTTGGAGAACATTGGGTTGTCCATCAATCTCTGTTGGGTTCCTGGTCTTTATAACATTCCAGGCAACGAGAGTGCAAACCTAATTGGCACTTCTTCTAGTACCTCTCCCAAAAAGGGTCAACATTTTGAATATTCATGAAGCTCATAAAACCCGAAATTAACATCTGATTCCATTCAGACTTAGCATATCTCAATATTTCTACCAACACAAGATCTGTTAAAACGATGGTAGAGATCGGACCTTTCTTTCTGGTATCTCCGCCACAAAGGGTCAAAGTTTTGAATAATCAAAACGATCTAAAAATTCGAAATAAGCATCCGGTTCTCTTTAAATTACAAACATTACAATATTTTCAATAACCCAAGGTCTGGTGTGAAGATGGAATATATCGATCCACTCTTTCTGGTTCCTCCTCCCATTTTGAGTAACCATGAAGTTCATAAAACGCGAATTACCATCATATTCCATTCAGACTTTGTACATCTCAGTAATTCCATCAACGCAAGATCTGCTATAAAAATGGTAGAGATATGACCTTTCCTTCCGGTACCTCCCCCACAAAGGGTCAAAGTTTTGAATAACCAAAACGATCATAAAATCCGAAATAAGCATCCGGTTCTCTTCAAATTACACACATCACATATTTTTATTAACCTAAGGTTTGGTGTGAAATTGGTACATTCCTTCCGATACCTCCCACACAATATTCATGAAGCTCATCAAACACAAAATTAACATCAGATTCTATTTAGACTTGGTGCATCTCAATATTTCCATCCACACAAGATCTGCTATAAAGATGGTAGAGATCGGACCATTTCTTCTGGTACCTCCCCCAAATAGGGTTCAAGATTTATGAATAAACAAAACGCTCAAAGAAAGCGAGATAAGCATCCAACTCTCTTCAAATTTCACACATCCAAATATTTTTGCTAAAGTAAGATCTGTTGTGAAGATGATATATATCTCTCAAACCCCTTTTGGTACCTCACCCACCAAAGGGTCACAATTTCCAATATTTATATCTGTTACAACTTGCGAAACAAGTCGGCGATTCTTAACCAGAAATCTGAAATGAATATACAATTTATCGGAATTTAGGATTTCGCATAAAATTGGATATAAATGTTTGATTTTCTTTAAATTTTTCACATATCAATATTTTTATCTGTATTAGATGAATACTTCGGTCCGCTATATCTATTACCTCAGGCATATTTCCAAAAATTTGCTCATATCTCATATAAAGTAAGCAGAAATATTTTTATCAGTCTTAGATCAGTTACGAATTGGTCAATATTTGCCAACTGCTTCAAAACCGATCCCATAAAGGGTCAACAATTTGAATAATCTTTACTCAAGGCTGGGGTATTAGATGAATACTTCGGTCCGCTATATCTATTACCTCACCAAAATTTCCACATTTTCAAAAATTTGCACATATCTCATATAAAGTAGATAGGAAGTAGTCGATATAGTCCAAATCTGGCACGTTGTAATATTTTTATCAGTCTTAGGTCAGATACTAATTGGTCAATATTGGCCAACTGCTTTGGAACCTCCCCCCATAAAGGGTCAACAGAGTGAATAATCATAACTCTTGGCTTGGGGGGTATAAATCTGTCGGCAAATTGCTGATACTATTTTACTTGTTTTATAAGTATTTAAAAAAATTCCTCGTCATTTGCCATTTTGAAAAAAATCCATTTTGATTCCCAATTACTCCATTCCATAGTCATTAGATACCATTTAAAATCCCAGTTTGTCATCCTCAAAAACATACATTTTTAATTTTACATTAACTTCTTCTTTGAAATCAATAACAGTTTTGAAATGACTTCATGTTCATCTGTTGATGGAAGGCGTTAACACTTATTTCAATGGTGTTTCCATATTGTCACAAACACATTTTGCACTCTTTAACAAATTTTGGAGATTGTTGCACACATTTCACTTCCTTTCATCAGATCTCAAGTAGAAGTAGAAAATTCGCTATGTTATCCTTTCATTGTTAGAGAAAACCTGGTATATTTGCATTTGATTAAAAAATGTTCCTAATGTACTGTGTGTGTGTGCCTGTCGTCTGTTATTGAACCAACGAGGAGATCATATGGTGGAAAACCTTCGAAATCTATCTCAGTAGAAAATGTAATGATGTCGAGCTATTTTTTGTATCATTTCTAATGGTTGGTAGTTTTGAATAACGTTCATCGAAGAGATCTACTTTTGTTTTGTCTACCGTGTTTTGAAACGTGATGATGCTAGTTACTAAAGTATCGCTACTGAGTATTGCTTAAAATATTTTCAATATTTGCTAATGTTTTGTTAATAAAAAACCCCTTTTTTAAAATTCCCAGCAGAATGAAGATGGTGATCAAACAGATAGCGGAAATCGTTCACAGACGTCGGCATCATCGACACGACGGAATTCGGTGGAGGATAATAATGCAGCTACAACAGAACCGGTAAGAGCTCTAAGCAATCCATTTTTAACAATAAAACAAAATAATTTCAATTTTCCTCTACTCTTTCCAGGCTGCTGCCAACACAGACGAGGAGCCCCTACCGCCACGATGGTCCATGCAGGTGGCGCCCAATGGTCGTACCTTCTTCATAGATCATGCCTCGAGGCGTACAACATGGATAGATCCACGTAATGGCCGGGCCAGTCCAATGCCAAATCAAACCCGGCGTGTTGAGGATGATTTGGGACCATTACCCGAGGGCTGGGAGGAGCGTGTACACACAGATGGTCGTGTATTTTACATTGATCATAGTGGGTTTAACAAATTGATTAATACATTGAATTTTTATTAAAAAAAAAAATATTTCCCATTTTGCAGATACACGAACAACCCAGTGGGAAGATCCACGCCTTTCAAATCCCAATATTGCCGGACAAGCTGTACCCTATTCAAGGGATTACAAACAGAAATACGAATACTTTAAGAATCATCTTAGGAAGCCTGTAAGTACTGAATTATTTGTTATGGAGTTATTCACTTAATGTACTCACATTTTTCTTTATTTTCCAGACCAATGTACCCAACAAATTTGAAATTCGTGTTCGCCGTACATCAATATTAGAAGATTCTTATAGAATTATCAGCCAAGTAACCAAAACGGATTTATTAAAAACCAAATTATGGGTGGAATTCGAGGGAGAAACGGGTTTGGGTAAGTGATCAAAAAAACATATTAAAAAAGATCTTTATTGTATTCAGGGACTCTCGAAGGGTTTGCCTCCAGAGGAACTTATTTAGGGAAGTTGTCTATACATAGAGGCCTTTTTTAATACGTCTGACCATAGAAGGCTTTTAATAGGCCTTCCCACGAGGTTTTTATATTCAAAAAGTACTTTAAAATAGTCTTCAACACATAGATGCCCTTTAGAAGGTATTTCTTCATCATTGGAAGAAATACTTCCACCCACAGAGGTTCTTATATTCAAAAAGTCCTTTAAAATAGTCTTCAACGCATAGATGCCCTTTAGAAGGTATTTTATAGAATATGTAGACCTCTAGACAGTTTTGCATCATTGGAAGGAATTCCTCTACCCATAGGAGACCTTTTAAAAGGTCTTTTATTCAAAATGTAGTTAACAAAGCCTTCAACACATTGGTGCCATTTCGAAGGTCTTTTGAAGACAGTTTATCATTAGAAGACCTTCACGTGGTCTTCCATCCATAGAAACCTTTAAGGCATTGATGTTTTTTAGAAGGTCTTCCATCCATAGAACCTTTAGACAATCTTCCATCCTTGGAAGAACATTCGAAGATCGTTTCTCCTTAGAAGATATTTTTGGGGACCTTTTAAAGGTATACTATTCAAAAAAGATCTTTAGACGATATTCTATTTATAGAGGTCTGTTAGAATGTCTTCCATGCACAGAAAACCTCAAGAATGCCTGTCATGTTTGAAAGAACTATTTAAGGTATTTTATTAATAGAGGACGTTTCGAAGGTCAATTGTTCTTAGACGACATTTTAAATGTCCTTTTGAAAGTTTCTTTTTCATAGAAAACCTTTTGAAGATCTTCTGGCCATTGAGGTATTTTATCCTTAGTACCTATTTTTCAGGTACTCTGTCCATAGAGAGCCTTATGAAGCTCTTCTATTCATAGAAGAGCTTTGGAATTTCTTCTATATAAAGAATACCTTTGGAAGGTCTCCTGTCCATTGAGAGCTTTATGAAGGCCTTTTATCGGTATAAGACCTTAAGAAGGTTTTCTATACTAGAAGACCTTTTTATACCCGTCACCATTTTATGGAGGGTATATTAGCTTTGTCATTCCGTTTGTAAATCCTCGTAACATTCATGATAGACCCTATAAGACGATTTAGCGATGCCCGTCTGTCTGTCTGTTGTAGTCACGCTATCTTTCAAACGAGTTGAGATAGAAGGCTAAAATTTTGCTACCTGCCAGTAGGCAGGTTAAGTTCGTAAAGGTGCCAATTTGGTCCACGTCTTCGTATAGCCCCCATAAAACGGCAACTCACGATATTCGGTATTTTGAAGATTTTAGCTTATGACAAAATTTGCCTATGCAAGTCCACGTCGTTGAATAGACCCAAATATAACGGCAGAATTTTTAATGAATTTTATTTTTTTGAACATTGCCAAATTCGTTCCAAATGGTGGAGTGTATTCAAAGTTCGACCCGGCCGAATTAACAGTTTTTTTTTTTACCATAGAAGGCTTTTTGAAAATATTATATTCATGGTCTTATGAAGGTCCATAGAGGGCGTAATTAAAGTCTTCTATCCGCATAAGGTCCTTCTGTCTGTATATGTCCTTTTGAAGGAATTCTGTCTTTAGAAAACCTTTTCAAGATATTTTATCCGTAGAAGAACTTTTGAAGGTATTCTACCTACAGAAGAACTTTTGAAGTTCTTTTATACTTTAAAGGCCTATTAAAGGTCGTACCATATTTGAAGATCTCCTACCCATAGAAGGCTCTATGAAGGTCTCCCATTCTAGAAGGCTGTTTGAAGGTCTCTTTTTAAAAGGGCATAGTAAGGTCTTCTGTCCTAGAAGACCTTCTGAAGGTGTTTTATCCTTTGAAGACCTTTTAAAGATCTTCTATCATAAGAGATTTGTTGAAGGTTTCCAATCCTAGAAGATCTTAGAAGGCTCTGTGAAGGTCTCCTGTCCACAGAAGACCTTTTGAAGATTCCTATCACAAAAGACATTTTAAAGGTATTTTATTTTTTGAAAACATTTTGAAGGTCTCCTATCCTGAAGACTTTTGAAGACCTCCTTTCTATCAAAGCCCCTATCAAGGGCTTTTATCTATGAAGATATTTTGAAGACCTTTTATCCATTGTATACATTTAAAAGCCTCCTTTCCTACATCTTTTGAATGTTTACCACTCATAGAAGGCTCTATGAAGGACTTCTATCCATGAAGGTTACCTATGAAGCCCCCTATCATGGGTTTTTATCCTATAAGACCTTTTGAAGGTCTCTTTCCTATAAAAGCTCCTATCAATGATACCGTTAAAAGTCCTCTTCTACATAAAAGAGAATTATGATAAGTCATAGAAGGCTCATAGAAGGCCCTATGAAGGACTTCTATCCATGAAGGTTACCTATGAAGCCCCCTATCATGGGTTTTTATCCTATAAGACCTTTTGAAGGTCTCTTTCCCATAAAAGCTCCTATCAAGGATACCGTTAAAAGTCCTCTTCTACATAAAAGAGAATGATGATAAGTCTACGAGGTCTACGTCGCATACAATTAAAAGACCTTTATGAATGCCTTCCATCCAGAGCAAGGTCTTTCTTGGATAGAAAACCTTCAAATGGATTTGATAGATTTCTTTGAAAAATCTTCTATGCATAGAAGGCCTTTAAAAGGTCCTCATGGATAAATGTCTTTGATAGGGGCTTTCATAGAAAGTTCCTTGATAGGTGCTTTCATAGGGAAGGCTTTTAACCATGAGGACCTTGCTCTGGATGGAAGGCATTCTTTTGATTGTCTGTGACGCAGAACTCTAGACAGTCTTCCAAATATAAAAGATCCCTAAATGGACTTCTCCTGATTGTCTTTGATGTAGGAAATGCCTTTTGGCGGTCTTCCTTATTTCGTTTTTCTCTCCCCTGTATTTTTCAAATTTCTAAAGCATACTTTTAGGATGTTTTTTTAAATTCACCTTCCTTGTATTTTCTAAATCTTTACAGATTATGGTGGTTTGGCCAGAGAATGGTTCTATTTGTTATCCAAAGAAATGTTCAATCCCTACTATGGCCTGTTTGAGTATTCAGCCATGGATAATTATACTTTACAAATCAACAATGGCAGTGGTCTGTGCAATGAGGATCATTTACACTATTTCAAGTGAGTTCTTGGAAATTCTTTTAATTTTAGAAGATATCTGATTTTCGTTTTTCTGATCAGATTCATTGGTCGCATTGCTGGCATGGCAGTCTATCATGGTAAACTACTGGATGCCTTCTTTATACGTCCCTTCTACAAAATGATGTTGGAGAAACCCATCGATCTCAAGGACATGGAATCGGTAGATACTGAATATTACAATTCATTGGTGTGGATCAAGGAGAACGATCCCCGGCAACTAGAGTTGACCTTCTGTGTGGATGAGGACACGTTTGGGCAAAAGAGTCAACATGAATTGAAACCGGGCGGTGCCAATATTGAGGTGACCGATGAAAATAAGGATGAATACATAAAACTGGTGATCGAGTGGCGTTTTGTGGCCCGTGTCAAAGAACAAATGACTGCGTTTTTACAAGGTTTTGGTTCAATAATTCCCTTGAATTTAATTAAAATCTTCGATGAACATGAGCTGGAGCTGTTGATGTGTGGCATACAAAATATCGATGTGAAAGATTGGAGAGAGAATACCCTCTACAAGGGTGATTATCATCAGAATCACATTATTATTCAATGGTTTTGGCGTGCCGTCCTTTCGTTCCCCAATGAAATGCGTTCACGTTTGCTGCAATTTGTTACGGGTACATCACGTGTCCCCATGAATGGTTTCAAGGAATTGTACGGCTCAAATGGTCCACAAATGTTTACCATTGAGAAGTGGGGCACCCCCAACAATTATCCTCGGGCGCATACATGGTAAGGAGGAAATTTAATACAGTTTTTTGGGTTTTATTTTCATTTTGTTGTTGTTTTTTTTTTAATTTGCAGCTTTAATCGCCTGGATTTACCACCCTATGAGGGCTATTTACAATTAAAGGATAAACTAATCAAAGCCATCGAAGGCAGCCAGGGCTTTGCCGGTGTCGATTAAAAGAAAAACAAAACCAAACAACAATAACAATACGTTTCTATGCGTTTTTGGTGTTCACACAATCAAAAGAGAAAATGAAAGAAAAACTAAAGAAAACAAAACAAATGAAAAAAAGTGATGGTGTCGCTCCTATGGTGGACCACATAGCGACAATCATTATTCCTATATATATTTATATAAATAAAACAAATCAAGGCAATTCTTGCAAAAAATAAAAACAAAAACTTAACAACGCCAATGCCCATAAATGTTGCAGTCTACGAATGTTTCTTTCGGAAAATAAAAAACCATCATCATACAACGAAGACTAAATGAAATAACACAATAGACGCGTAATTAAGTCGTGGCCTTTTTCCAAAAAAAAAAAAAAAAAAACAAAAACTAAAAACTAAAACAAAAAGCAAACAAACCAACAAAATTGTACTTATTTATTTGCCTGTTTCCCCTTTCTTGTTTTATTTTCCTTTTGTATAATCATTATTTTTAATAATATGTTTATAATTACAAACAAACAAACAAAAAAACATACACATAAATGCAGACGCAATAACTATAGAGAAATAAATTATTTGACAATTTCAAACAAACTATAACTAAAATTAAAATTTTGTATCTTTTTTTATTAAAGAAATATTAAAATATTTCAAGAGGCCAAAATAGTTTAAAGGACAGCATCAGGGTCCCTCAAAAAGAAGCACGTACAAGGTGAGATAAAAACCAGTAAAGAAAGCCCTAAAGTTGGGCGGGGCCGATTTTAAGATACCCTACATCACTTTGCTAATTTATTTGAGCTCCACATAACAATTAAAAGTTTTTATGGGAGAATTCAATCATACACCCTATGATTATAATTATAATTTAAAATTCAAAGGACTAAATATGCCGAAGCATTTGTATCTTTGTAATTCGGACTTGTATCGCCCATTTGGTGCAAAATTAATTTGAAATCGGATAAAGATATATATGAGAGCTTTATCCAAATCTGAACCGATCTCAATAAAATTTGTCAAAGATATTTCTGAGCTGTATTTGATATATTTCCCTGAATATCGTTGTTACGGTGTGCATATTACGGCTGTGGGTAGCAAATACAACAAATCGGATGAACAATATATATGGGAGCTATAGCTATATATGAACCGATCTTCACCAAATTTGGCATACTACCTTCTAGACTCAATTCGGTCGTATGTGCCAAATTCCATCCCATTTGGGAAAATATTAGACGTTTGGGGCACAATAAAAGGTAAATCGGACGAAGTTATATATGGGAGCTATATCCAAATTTGAACCGATCTCGATAAAATTTAGCAAAGGTATTTCTGAGCTGCATTTGATATATTTCCACAAATATTGTTGTTACAGAGTGCATATTACGGCTGCGGAGGATAAAAATAACAAATCGGATGAACAATATATATGGGAGCTAAGCTATATCTGAACCGATTTCGATCAAATTTGGCATACTTATTTTCAGGCCTAATTTGGTTGTATGTGCAAAATTCCATACTGTTCGGGCTGATATTACACATTTGGTGTACAATAAAAGGCAAATCGGACTAAGATATATATGGGAGCTATATCTAAATTTTGACCGATTATCTCCAATTTCAATAGGGATCGTCATTGCGCCAAACAAATGTTGTTTTGAAAATTTCATCTCAATCGGATAATAAATGCGACCTGCATTTTGTTCACAAAAGAATACATGGACAGACGGACGGACAGACGGACTGACATGCATAAATCAACTCAGAAAGTGGAACTATGGGTCTATCTCGTTTCCTTTTGCCTGTTACAAACAAATGCACAAAGACATAATATCCTGACCACCTTGTGGTGTAGGATATAAAAATTGCAACAAAGTCAAAAGCCATAATTTTTACATTTTTTTTTAAATTTTATTGAATGAAAGCAAAAAATGTCGGAAACAGCATCAAATGTAAGAATATGTTTAGATTTGTTCGAATTGGTCACCTTATGGCCTTTCAACGGCCAATGAAACCGTTACACGCTGCCGGAACGTTGCTCTGCCGTATTTTGGCCCATTCCCGGCGAAGCGCTTGCTTGAGGTGATCAACACTTTGGTATTTTTTAGTGTCAACCTTGTTTTTCAAGGTCCAACGGATTGGTATCCGGAGTTTTTGGTGATTTATTCACATTTAAATGCTGGAGTGCTCTAACGATAGCCACTTGTGGTTTTCCAGCCAAATATAAAGAAATCACACTATCACGCTTCAACTCCATGACGAATAACTTTTTTTCTGGAACATTCTCAGCAAAACGGTTTTGTGGGCTTGTAAACAATATAATGGACTGTCACTGAAATAATTTTAACAGCTGTGGGATGAGTGGCTTAGAAATGACAGCAGTCTGAAATTGGTTGCTATTTATTCATATCACCCTGTATACGTTAATGTCTGTTCTACGTGAGCACAGACCATATTTTCATGTTTCATGCCATTGTTTTATTCGCCAAAAATTTGGTGGCGTCTAGAATATTGCAGAAATAATATCAAGTTTCGATCTTGTGATAATCTCAGGCTAAATTAAAAATACATGCTTTTATATCACACGACCATACTATTCAAATGAATTCGATGATATTTGAATGATTGTAGGAAACAAAACACTTGTTTCTGGAAATCGACTTTTTTACGTTAATATTAGATAAGGTGTTCCTTACCTTGGGGGGTAAGTATGATTAGGCAAAATAAAAATTATTCCAATACTCAAGAAATTTCTGTGACTTAATGGAATTTTTTTTAAAGGAAAATCTGAAATATATTTTGATTTCTGGAATCAAAATTAGCTACTTTTGTGATACGCAAATGTTTCTTAAGCAGAATACTCTTATGAAATTATATTTTCAAAATTCAATAACAATTTCCATAAAATTATTACTCACGTTTAGGATATATGGGGTTGAAACCAAATGTTCAATTTTTCTATAATTGCAGGGAAAATCCAGCAGTTTTTGAAAGTAGAGTTAAAAACAGAAGACGCGCGAAAGGTTTTGAAAGTTTGCATCACAAAGTAAGTAAAAATATGGGGGTAAATTCCCCCTTCTTCCACAGTTTTGGAAATTTTCGAATTAAGATTCCTTGGAATCCTTACATTTTAGGTATACAGTGTCTTCGGCAATATTGCAGATAAAAACATAAGGATTTTTTGGTGCATTATTAACCCTCAAGCTGGTCATCAAAGTGGTCTGTTTGGTCCTTTTTTCGAAATATAGTTAAAAACTCCCTTTAAACCGGATACTAGTAAGTCCAAATATCCTTAAAAATGATTTATCATAAAATTCTACTATAGGTCCTAGAAGGCATCAAAAGCCTAAATCTTACCCAAACGTCAGGAATTCACAAATATTAAAAACATATTTTAAGGGTTAAAGGAAGCCGTACTTTATGTGAGTTAATGCATAATTCTCCTACAAAACATTATTTTATAAGGATGACGTCAGAGACTAAATTGTTCCTCATCAAATTTCACTATAAGTCATCTAAGGAAATAGAAGATAAGTCATCTAAGCTATTTCCATTGCACATTGAAAATATATTTGCATCAATGTTCCCAAACCAAAAATATTTGCTCCTTTTTATACCCTCAGCCATATGGCTACAGAGGGTATATATCATTTGATACAGCTAAAACGTGCCTCACCGAAATAATGATTTTAGAGCCTAGGTCTCTTTGGACCAAATCCGTTACACGACATTTGGAGTCGATCGATGTCCTTCCGTCCGATCGTCTATTTGGCTGGCTAGTAGATGCACACGATAACTCTCGAAGGGAGTATCCGGTTTGATCCAAACTTGGTACATCGTAATATTATTGTCAAACTTATATCGAGTTCGGATATGGGTAATATACGTCCGCTCCTTCTGGTACCTCCCACACAAAATGTCACAGAAAGAGGAAGGATAATCCGATTTTGCTCTAATTTTGCAAATCCTAATATTTGCCTCAGTGCTAGGTCAGGTGTGAAAATGGATAATATCGGTCTACTCCATCAAGTACCTCCCCCACAAAGGGTCCAAATTTTCAATAATCATAACTCTTAAAAAATATGATGTAAGCTTCCGATTGTCTTCAAATTACACACATCACAATATCTTTATTGACCCAAGGTCTGGTGTGAAGATATGGTACCTCCCCCAACAAAGAGTCAAAATTTTGAATCTTTACGAAGCTCATAAAACACGAAATTAACCGCCGATTCCAATCAGACTTGGCACATCTCAATATTTCCATCAACGCAAGATCTGTTATAAATATGGTAGAGATCGTTATAAAGATCCTACTGCTACCTCTCCCACAAAGGGTTAATATTTTGAATAACCAAAATGAACATAAACTCCGAAATAAGCATCCAGTTTTCTTCAAATTGCGCGCATTACAATATTTTTATTTACCCAAGGTCTGGTGTGAAGATGGAATATATCGGTCCACTCCTTCTGGTACCTCCCCCACAAATTATTGGCCCATTCTTTCAAAATCCACTCCATAGAGGGTCGAGTTTGAATAATTATAACAGAAGTCAAAATATTTTTAAATAATCGAACATTGGCTGAGGGTACACATCTGTCTATCTCCATTGCCTCCTGCCTCGAGAGTGTGGGCTTTTCAGTATTTGGGGTCGCTAGGTCTATTCAGGTCGACTTTTTGCGACTAGAGATCGAGGACTGGACTACCGTGGTAGCCATGTCTTCGTCCTTGTAAGTGTCTGCTTCGTCCTGTTAGTCGTAGCAGACCGAGTCCGTTTTTAGGATAATTTTTGTTCAGATGGAGGTAAACTTCGCACTTGTTGACTTGTTGACGGTGTGCGCCAAGGTGTCCAACCACCTTCTTTTGAAATAGGAATATTTTTTTAGTGGGAGAGAGGGGGGGAGGGTGGTGTTTTTAAAATTTCGGGATCCGTACGTCATTGTCTTGTAAAGGGGCCATGGCATAGCCTCCGTATCATGGCAAGAACTCGGTAACTAAACCTATTATTCGTTGAGTCGTCCAGTATCAGCGAAGTTCCGTTAGAATACAGACGGTATCCTGAGTGCAAACCTGTAACACTGATTGACACATGCACCAGTACAAATGTTTGGCTATTTTAGGACGCCGAAACATCGCCTCGTCAGCCTAAGGATTATTGGCTCTCGAATATTTAAACCGAAACTCTTCCACAGACCCGCTTTCTGTCCGCTATAAAATTGATAGTTTATGGTCCAACAAATATATTTATACCCTACAACACTATGTGTTGGGGGTATTATAAGTTTGATTGGGCCAGAATTTATGTAACACCTCGAAATATTGGTTTCCCATATAGGAAAGTATATATGGATCTTCCTAGCTCGCCGAGCTGAGTCGATCTAGCTATGTATGTCCGTCCGTCCGTCTGTCCGTCTGTCCGTCTGTCCGTCTGTCCATGTTAATTTGTAATCACTCTACAGGTCGCAATTATGGTCCGATCTTTACGAAATTTAGAATGTAGGTGGGGTTAAGGTCAGAATAGAACCCTATTTCTTTTGGAGATGATCGCATAATATTTAGGGGTTGAAATGGACCAAAAACTGAAAAAAATCCTGATTTTGCAGTTGCTCTACAGGTCGCAATTGTAGACCGATCAACGCGGAATTTCGCTTGTAGCTAGAGTTTAGGGCGGGGAAGAAGCCTACCAATTTGGGTGGTCATCGGATAATATTTAGCGGGTAAAATAGACCATATATTTTGTGTTGAAAAAATTCAAAATTTTTCATTAAACCGCGAACATTTTAAATCCCGGCGAAATCGCAAAGCCACGACAAGGTTACTTCTGATCTTCACATTGATGTTAACATCCATCAAATGTCTATCAAAGAAGATATGCTTGAAAGATTTCTTATATGTCGAGAACGGCTGAACTGATTTCGACAGGTCTCATTAATTCAGAATGGCCTCTTGATAGGAAAGAAAAAACGTCTAAAAAATCGCATAAAAATATCTCTCTAAAGATGAAAATATTGATTTTGTAAAATTTTCTCATATTTTTTCAATTTTGTCATATTTTTGGCATATTTTCATTTTGAATTAAACATTTGGTAATATTTCTACAGCTAACAAAACTAAGTAGCTAGGATATCGGGATATCATATACAGATCGCATTTATGGCCCGATCCTTACGAAATTTTGCATGGAGATAAGATGAGGGTCAGAATAAAAGCCTACTCTTTTTGTACCAAAAAAATGGACCAAAAAACTGCAAAATTGTCAGCAGGTCGTAATTATCGCCCGATCCTCACGCACTTTTAAATGGGGGTTACCGGACATTGCAAAAGCCAAGCAGTTTTGGATGGCCATCCAAAAATATTCAATGTGTGAAGGAGTTTGCCAACTTTTGTAGACAAAATACGAAAATGTCCATTCCAGTGACTTTTTGGAGAATTCACAAATACAGGAAAGACGCACTTCTGGCTATTTCGTTAATTAAATTGGAAATATATATAAACTGTATCGTTTATTATAGTGTTGTAGGGTATTCAACGGTCGGCCCCGCTCGACTGTAGCCTTTGCTTACTTGTTTAAAAATACGAATTTTTAATCGACGATAATAAATTCATGCTTTAAAAAATGAAATCAATCAAAATAAAGCGTTTTACAAAAACAGGATCTGTTTCCAAAAAAAACTTTAGTTTTTTAAAAATTTTTTCAGGACCAAAAATCTGAAAGCATGTCAATTTCTTATTCATAAGGAATAATTCGAAAGGAATTCTAATCAGAAAACACCCCCAAAAAGTACCAACAAATGTCCCTACATGGCGTCGAGATAGCTTCGTATTTTCCCACTACACCGAATGCCGACGCTACTAATCTGAATTCGTTTAAATGATAATTGTCATGTTTGAATTCGCTACACAAGTATTTAGATTACGATAAACTTGGGCGAACATATTTCTATTTGGCATTATCGTCATTTAGAAGAAGATTACAATCGAAATGGAAATCGGGAATGGGGTGCCATATTCAATGATTTTTGCTAAGGGGGCAGGTGGTGGCCGAACAACAATGCCAAAAATACGCCAATTCTTAGGCTATCTTTGAGAGGGAGTCTTCAAGAAAAAACAGAAGTACTTATATTTGTATGTATGTCTTACATATAAAACGACAAGTATGTGTCAGGGCCATGTTAGTATCGGAATTTCAGTCAGAGCCTCAAAAACATAGACAAACCTAACGCTGGTTGTTTGGTTGGATCTACAATTAAAGAAAGACAACTATGTGTAAATTACAAACGCTTTTCGTAATTGGATTATTTTTGTACTCGGTCCGTGCATATCCACTTGATTTGACGGCCACCGACTTGCCGAATGGGCAATTGCAAATTAGTGGCCGTATTTCCGGCGGCGATTTAGCGGCGGAAAATCAATTCCCCTATCAAGTTGGTTTGAATATCGAAACAACACAGGGCAAGTTTACATGGTGCGGCGGCAGTTTGATCTCAAACCAATGGGTATTGACGGCTGCCCATTGTGTTGAGAGGTAAGTTGTGAGATATTTTACATTTGTGTTTGATTTTTAGTGTAACACTGTGCAACACGAAAAATGATTACGGGGAGAATCCAACAGATTTTGAAAGTAGGGCTAAAAAAGAAGACACGTATGTGTGGGAAAGTTCCCCCTCCTCCGCAGTTTTGGAAAATATCTGTTTAAGGTTCCTGAGAATCCCTTGATTTTAGCTATATAGTGTCTCTAGGATTATTTTGGTTGGACATTTGGAGTCAAAAAAGGGGTCTATTTGGCCTTTTTTTTAATTGGGTAAAAACTCCCATTAAACGGGACCATAGCAAGACAAAATATTCTACAAAATTATTTGTCATAAAATTCTACTATAGGTCCTAGAAGACATCAAAAGTCCAAATCTTATCAGAACGGCTGGAATTCATAAATATTAAAAACTCATTTTTAGGGTTAAGGCCGTACTTCACTTGGTTTTATACAAAATTCTCCCTCAGAATATAATTTTACAAGGATGACGTCAAAGACAAAAATATTCCGTATCAAATTTTACTATAAGTCACCAAAGAAAAGGAATCCCTATTTTTATTTATATCAAAAAAATATTTAAGAAAACCGAATATATTTATTTTTTTATTTTTGTTTGAAAATTTTATGTTTCTTTTACCGCTACCGAATTAATGCTAAATTCTCCTATAAAGCACCATTTTAGAAGGATGACGTAAAAGACCAAAATATTCTTAATCAAATTTGATTACAAGTCACCAAAGAAAAAAATGGCATCAATGTTGCCAAAAAACCGAAAATATTTCCTAATTTTTTGATCGATTTTTCTGCGACCTGTGTTGGAGTTGATGCATGAAATTAAGTTAAAATTTCGTTAAAAGCTGAAATTATTAAAAGATAAAATGATCTACACAAAATATATATATCCATATACCATACAGGGTTGCCCATATTCGACGGACCCATGACTCTTTGGGCCCATTCCAATCGACGAGGCTTGTCCGCAGGCAGCATTCTTTGCGTCAATTGAATTTTGTACGGGAATAAATGTAAATCAATGCGAATAATCCGTTGTAAAGTGGACCGAGCCATGCCCAACTGCTGAGAACGGCGTTTTTGGGATGTTCTTGGGGACCTCTCAACACTGGCTCGTACGGTAGCGATATTCTCGGCCGATCGCCTTGGTCGACTTTTATATGGCCTCTTCGGATTAGAAAGAGCCTTACCAGGCGAAAATGGTTTTCTTAGAAGGCGCACTTCTCACATTTTTTAATGTTTTAAAAGCACGTTGAGTTTTCACAATTGACTTCTTCTGTTGAATGTAAATTTCAACTATTTCAGAGCGTTCGCGTGGCGTGTATTGGTTCATGGTAAAAATCTGCTTGGACTGACGCTTCAAACGCGGTATGTCATTAAGCGATGTGACATCTCTGTCAAAAGTTATGGCGTTGCCAGATGGGTCCGTCGAATATGGGCAACCCTGTATATCTGGGTTTAATAGTTTTTAAGAAAATTAATTTTGATCCATTCCCGGCGAAACGTCTACTTGAAGTGGTCGACACTTTTTGTATTTTTTAGTGCCCACCTTGCTTTCCAAAATACTCCAGACACAATAGTCCAACGGATTGGTATCCGGAGATTTTGGTGGCCATTGTGTTCTAGAAATGAAGCGAGGAACCTCATTTTGTGACCATTCTTGGGTGGCGCGTGCTGCTCCAAGGTATGCCGCCAAAATGTTTGCGTGCCCAAGACTTTAATACACCCTGAATAATATTTTCGCGATAATATTCGGCATTTTTTCTAATACCACCATTAATACGACCGGAGGGCGACTATTGGCTGTTATGGCGGTCCACACCATCACCATGGCCGGCGCTTGAGTTCTGTTGGCCAACCGAAGGTGCACATTTTCAGCTGACCTCTTTGGCAAGTAAACACGATCATTTTGTTTGTTTACAAACTGCTGGACAACGAATATTTTCTCATCGACATCAGAGAAAACCAAATTCGGCAGTTCATCACTTTCGGCCAAGCGAAGCAACTCTTTATCTCTTTTGAGTCTGTTGCGGTATAAGTTCTTGCACTTTTTGGAATTTCAATGGCTTCAGCCCGAGCTAATTTTTCAATATTTGCCGAATGGAATATTGCCATATGTTCAGCTCACGAGCCATTTTTCGGCCACTGCGACGTGGGTTTCAATCAAGTCGCTTCTTTACTTTTCGAACCATTTCTGCTGATGTTGCTGTTTTCTTTCTTCCACCCGTAAACTTCCTTGACGTCGCTACTGGCTACGCTACCAGTATCACGTAATTGGTAACGAGCGATGGTACGAGACACAAAATATTTATTCACATTTAAATGCTGGAGTGCCCTAACGATAGCCACTTGTGTTTTTCCAGCCAAATATAAAGAAATCACACTATCACGCTTGAATTCCATCACGAATAACTTTTTTTTTTTGGAAAAATATAATGAGCTGTCACTGGATTAATTTTAAAAGCTGTCGGACGAGTGGCTTAGAAATTACAGCAGTCTGAAGTTGGTTGCAGTTTTTTTCATCTCACCCTGTATTTTCTATATATATAGTGAAAATAGACATTTCATTTCTTTGGCAACTTATAGCGAAATTTGATGAAGAATATCTTTGTCTCCGACTTCATTCTTCTAAAATGATGCTTTGTTGGAGATTTTTGCGTAAACTCACATTGAGTATGCCCTTAACCCTTAAATGTGTTTTTAATGAATTCCATGCTCGTAGGCAAGATTTAGACTTCTTATGTCTTCTGTAGCCTATAGTAGAATTTTATGACAAATAATTTTGTAGAAAATTTTAACTTGCTACGATCGCGTTTAGAAGGGATTTTAAGCCATATGTTGAACAAGTAAAATAGAATCAGTCGTTTTTACCGACAGATGTATACCCCCAGCCTTGATTTATGATTATTCAAACTGTTGACTCTTTAATGGGGAGGTTCCGAAGCAGTTAGCCAATATTGACCAATTCGTATCTGACCTAAGACTGATATAAATATTACAACGTGCCAGATTTGGACTATATCGACTACTTCCTGTACTGGATATGAGAAGTATTCCGTTTTCATACTTCATCCAATACAGATAGAAATATTGGTATGAGTAAAATTTTGAAGGAAATCGCACATTTATATCCAATTTTATGCGAAATCATACATTCCAATAAATTACACATTCATATCAGATTTCTTGTTAAGAGACGTATTTAGACATAGCAAGTTGTAAAGAATCACCGACTTGTTTCTCAAGTTATGACAGCTATTAGTATTTGAAATTGTGACCCTTTGTGGGTGAGATACCAGAAGGGGTTAGCAGATATATATCATTTTCGCAGCAAATCCTGCGATAGGAAAATTATTTGGATTATTTGGATGTATTTGAAGAGAGTTGGATGCTTATTTTGCTGTCTTTTAGCATTTTTTTCTTCAAAATGTTGAACCCTATGTGGAGGAGGTACCAGAAGAAATGGTCCGATCTCTACCATCTCTATAACAGATATTGTGCTGATAGAAATATTGAGATGTATCAAGTCTGAATGGAATCGGATGTTAATTTCGCGTTTTATGAGATTCATGGTTACTCAAAATGCTGACCCTTTGCGGGGGAGGTACCAGAAGAAGTATACCGATATATACCAATTTTACACCAGACCTTGGGCTAACAAAAATATTGTGAGGTGTGTAATTTGAAGAGAACCGGATGCTTATTTCGGATTTTATGATCGTTTTGGTTATTAAAAACGTTGACCCTTTGTGGGGGAGGTACTAGAAGGAATGGTCCGATCTCCACCATATTTACAATAGACCTTGGGCTTATGGAAATAATGAGATGTGCCAAATCTGAATGGAGTCGGATGTTATTTTCGTGTTTTATGAGCTCCAGGGATACTCAAAATGTTGACCCTTTGTGGGGGAGGTACTAGGAGTGGACCGATATATTCCATCGTCTCCCCAGACCTTGGGGTAATAAAAATATTGTGATGTGAGAATCGGACTCTTACATCACATTTTATAAGAGTTATAATTGTTCCAAATTTTGACCGTTTGTGGAGGAGGTACTTGTTGGAGTGGACCGATATTGTTCACTTTCGCCCCTGACATAGCACTGATGAAAATATTAGGATATGCAAAGTTGGAGCAAAATCGGATTATCGTGTCTATTTCTGTGCAGTAAATTATTTTCTTTAAAACTGTTGATGTTTTGTGGGGGGAGGTACCAGAAGGAGTGGGCCGATATTGCCCATCTCCGAACTTGATTTAAGTTTGACAATAATATTACAGTGTACCAAGTTTGGATCAAATCGGATACTTTGTTCGAGTGTTATCGTGCGCACATCCAATCAGACGGACGGACATCACTAGATCGACTTCAAATGTCCTGAAACGGATTTCGTCCAAAGAGACCTAAGGTATAAAGAGACACGTTTTGACCGTATCAAATGATATAAACTCTCTGTAGGCATATGCAAAAATTATGACGTTTGACTTTGTTGCAGTTTTTTACCTCACCCTGTATACTTTCTGTATCCATGTTGCTGAGGCTATAAAAAAGATCCAAAAATACCAATTTGGTCACTTGCTTGAGTATTAAAAGATTCCACCAAAATGATCCTCCTGTTTTTATCTGCAATGTTGCCGAAGACACTATATACCTAAAGTCAGCGGATTTCATGGAATCTTAATCCGAAAATTGCCCAAAAATTCCGGAAAATGGGGAAACGTTCGCCCTCTTTTTTTTGTTACTTTGCCTTCCCAAACGCCAGAGCAGGGGCTCCCCTTATTAGCTTAACTTTCATAATACAATGGGGGTTTCCCGTAATTATGGAAAAAAAATCAGATTCTGGCACACAGTGTTCTACTTCATTAATAAATAACACATTCTCACATAAATACCTTCTATTCATTCCAGCATCACAGGTGTCATTGTCTACTTGGGATCGGTGAATCGTTTGCAGCCCAAGCAAACCTATCGGGTGGCCTTAAACGACATTCACATACACGAACATTTCAAAATGGCATCGCTGATAAATGATATTGCCCTGTTGCGTTTGCCATCCAAGGTCAGCTACAGTGATTCGATACATCCCATAAAATTGCCACGGATTTTTGCCTTCCATCCGGAATATGAATACCGGGAGGCCATCACCTCGGGATGGGGTCGTGAAAATGATGGTAGGTATCTTAAAAAATATGAGAAAAAAAGAAATTTATTTATGTCCACGTTCTCTTTGGTTGCAGTATCTGCTAACATTGCCTCTCATCTGAAGTATGTCATACGTTACACGCTCACCAATGCCGAGTGTCAATTCGTTTATGGCAATTCGGTGCGTTCGAGCAATATTTGCATCGATACAACGGGTGGTCAGTCAACCTGTAGTGGTGATTCCGGTGGCCCTTTGGTCATCAACGATGATTTTGATGGCTTGATACAAATTGGTTTGACTTCGTTTGGCAAATCTTCGGGCTGTACCAAAGGATATCCGGCTGTTTTTACCCGCTTGACATCCTATTTGGAATGGATTTATTTGATATCGGGAGTGGCAAATTTTTAGAAGGATTCGACGCATTTAATTTCACTTTTAAATATTTAGAATTTAAGATAGAAACATCCTGAAAAGTTTTCAAATTTGCCTTCGAAAATGGTTGAGCCATTAAAGAGGGCGTTGTATTTCTGTTTTAAGGGCATATATTTTGGAAACTTTCTGGTAAATTTTGCAAAGTTTTAAAAATCTGATTTTATAATTTTTGATCTATAATGTTTTGTATTTTGTTAATTTTTTGGCTACTCATTTTGAACATGTATGCCCCTTTATTAAACCCCTGGTGGGTTGATTACTTCAAAAAGCTGGTTCTTTAAATAATCTCAATTTTAAAATATCAAAAATATTCGTTTAAGCGAACAGCCAACATCTCTATTTTTGTTGAAATTTATATTAAATTTATATGAATTGCTCGTTTTTAACAGAAGTGCTGGTCACTTGAACCTTTTGTGTTTTTTCGGAAAAAGTGTAATTTTGTCATGTAAAATAATAAATGAAATTTTGAATTTTAAAAATCAAAATTGTTTTTCTTTTGTTGATGAGTTTTGTTACTGAATGAAGTCTACAAATGGGTTTTTTTATACCCTCAGCCATATGGCTATAGAGGGTATATATCATTTGATATGGCCGAAACGTTTCTTATCGAAATAACGGTTTTAGACCCTAGGTCTCTTTGGACCAAATCCGTAACAGGACAGTTGGAGTCGATCTAGCGATGTCCGTCCGATTTGATCCAAACTTGGTACATCGTAATATTATTGTCAAACTTAGATCGAGTTCGGAGATGGGCAATATCGGTCCACTCCTTTGGGGATCTCCCCCAAAAAATGTAAAAATTTTCAAAGAAAATATTTTTTTGCACAGAAAGAGAAAAGGATAATCCGATTTTGCTCCAACCTTGCAAATGATAATATTTGTATCAGTGCTAGGTTGGGTGCGAAAATGGACACTATCGGTCCACTCCATCATGTACCTCCCCCACAAAGGTCAAAATTTCAAATAATTATAACTCTTATATAATGTGATGTAAGAGTCCGATTGTCTTCAAATTATACACATCACAATATTTTTTATTAAACCAAGGTCTGGTGTTAAGATGGATTACATCGATCTACTCCTTCTGGTACCTTCCCCATAAAGGGTCAACATTTTGAATATTCATTAAGCACATAAAATACGAAATTACTATCAGATTCCATTCAGATTTGGTATATCTCAATATTTCCGTCAACACAAGATCTGTTATGAAGATGGTAGAGATCGGACCATTCCTTCTGGTACCTTCCCTACAAAGGGTTAAAATTTTGAATAACCAAAAATATTATAAAATCCGAAATAAGCCTCTAATTCTCTTCAAAGGGTCAACATAAATGTCCGATCGCCTTCAAATTACACACATCACAATATTTTTATTAAACCAAGGTCTGGTGTGAAGATGGAATATATCTGTCCACTGCTTCTGGTACTTCAAACAAAGGGTCAAGATTTTGAATATTCATGAAGCTTATAAAATGCAAAATCATATCCGATTCCATTGTAGACTTGGTAAATCTCAATATTTCCATCAATACAAAATCTATTATAAAGATTGTAGAGATTGGACCACTTCTTCTGGTACTAGGCCCACATAGGGCTCAAAAAAAAAAAAAACGAAACGAAATAAGCGTCCAACTCTCTCTATACGACGTGCACCTACAAAGGCATTGTTTGTCATAAGCTATTACCATATTCAAATTCGATAACTTGAAATATACGGTGAATATTGTAGCTAAGATCATCAAAATATCGAATATGGGGAGGTACCGTTATATCGGAGCTGTGTGAAGGCCTGGACCAGCCAGACAATTTTCTGCCAGAGGCTGTAGCATCCATTACGAAGTTTAAATACGACGAATCAAACAATATCGGTGGGTATTGTACCTAAACTCGTACTGATATATGGGGGCTATACGAAGACTTGGACCTGCACAGTAATTTTTCTGTCTTAGGCTGTACTGTCCCTTTGGAACTTCAAATATCAAATTTGAAACAATTCCGGTGAATAATGTCGCTTAAATCATCGAATATCGGAAGGTACTGTTACATGGGGGCTATACGAAGACGTAGATCTGCACAGACAATTTCCTGTCTTAGGCTGTAGTATCCATTTTGAACTTCAAATACCAAATTTGAATAATGTAACTAAAATCATCAAAATACCGAATATCGGGGAGTACCGTTATATGGGGGCTATACGATATCGTGGACCTATATAGATAATTATCTTCCGAGGTATAAAGTACCCACTAGGGACTCCTTGTGTGGATTATCAGAAAATTCCGCTGAAAATGTGGCTTAAATAATCAAAATACCGAATATCGGAGGTTACCGTTATATGGGGGCTATACGATATCCTGGACCTATATAGATAATTCTCTTCCGAGGTATAAAGTACCCACAAGGAACTCCTTGTGTGGATTATCAGAAAATTCCGTCAAAAAATGTGGCTAAAATCATCAAAATACCGAATATTGGGGGGTACCGTTATATGATGGCTATACGATATCGTGGACCTATATAGATAATTCTATTCCAAGGGATGAAGTACTCACAAGGAACTCCTTGTGTGGATTATCAGACAATTCCATTAAAAAATGTGGGTAAAATCATCAAAATACCGAATATCGGGGGGTACCGTTATATGGAGGCTATACGATATCGTGGACCGATATAGACCATCTTCGAACTTGACATGCCTGCAGACAAAAGACGGATCTGTGCAAAATTTTAGCTTCCTATCTTAATTCGTTTAGACTGTAGCGTGATTACAACAGACGGACGGACGGAGGGACGGACAGGGCTAAATCGTCTTAGATCAAGAATATATATACTTTGTTGGGTCTAAAATGATTATTTTGATGAGTTACAAACGGAATGACGAACTTAATATATGAAAAGGGAAAAATTTTGGCTTTTGACTTTGTGGCAGTTTTTTTAACTCAACCTGTCGCTAGATCGACTCGGAATGTCCTGAAACGAATTTGATCCAAAGTGACATAGGGTCAAAAACCCTTATTTCGATGAGGTTTAGGCTATATCAAATGATATTAACCCTCTGTAGCCATATGGCTGAGAGTAAAAAAAGCAGAAAAAAATTTCGGTTTTTTTGACAACATTGATAAATTACTTTCTTGACATATGTAGTGGAGATGGAGATTTCCTTTCTTTGGTGACTGATAGTGAAATTTGATGAGGAATATTTTTGTCTCTGACCTCGTTCTTCCAAAATACTGTTTTGTGGGAGATTTTTGCATAAAATCACTTGAAGTATGGGTTTTACCTTAAATTTAGTTTTTAATATATATCAATTCCAGGCGTTTAGATAAGATCTATTTTTAACCAATATAATCCAAGTATTGTTATCAGTAATATGCCTGAAATGTCCGGTTTCCAAGGAATCTTAAAATCGCCGATATACAGGTCTTTTATTATTAGTTCTATTTTCATAATCTACTGGGCATTTCTTGTAATTATTGAAAAATAAATTAAAAATTTTGTCACACAGTGTACTTTATCCATAAAAGATTTCAACATGTTCTATTTAGAGAAGACATCTTCTATATCAATAATATTTCAGGGTGTTCTCCCCATATACAATTCAAAATATTATATTCATTTGGGACCTATAACTGAGGTCCAACAAAAAACATTTGACCTTATTATTTGCAGAGGAGTTATTGATATTTTATCTGTAGAGGACAGCACCCATGTTTTTAATCTATATAAAATCTCATCTCAACTGAAGACCGATTGGCCTTTACATTTTCTAGTTAAAGTACATGATGTACCTTTGTTCCTTGTCGGGAGGTGTTTAAAACAACTGATAATGGTGTAACTCAATAGTATGTCAATGAATAATTCATCAGGCTTCTTAAATGCAGAACTTTTTAGTACAAATTTCTATGGTTGTAAAATTAAGAATTTCTTTTGTTAAAGCATACCTTTAGGCGAATTCTATCTGTTATACTTTCATTATAACATTTTTAAGTGCACAGTAGTCAATGTTGTAGGTATAGGTTTATTTGAAAAATATTTTGCTAGGAAACTTATTGTTAGGAACAACCATTAACTGGTCTTCCGCCCATAATATACGTTTGAAATTTCTAATATTTTTGGACGATTTGAAGAGGGCATTTAAAAGATGTTTTATATAAGTAACGATTTTTAATGGTCTCTTTAGTGTCGAAAATTCTTAAGTGGTCTCCCAGCTATGGATGACCTTAAGAAACAATTCCCAATACAGAGGACCTGTGATGCGTATTCTTTAGAAGACCAGTGAAAAACCTTGTATGTAATGCTATTGGGCCTAGAGATGCTGATCCCGTGGGGTTTCTAATGGGATACAGAGTGTATGTTATCTCTTGTGCATTTGTTTGTAACATGGAGAAGGAAGCAAGATAGACCCATAGTTACTTTTGAGGATCTCCATAGAATCACTTTCTGAGTTGATTTATGCATGTCAGTCTGTCTGTCCGTCCGTCTGTCCATATATTCTTGTGAACAAAATGCAGGTCGCATTTATTATCCGATTGAGATGAAATTTTGCATAAATAATTTGTTTCGCCCAAGGACAAACCCTATTGAAATTGGAGATAATCGGTAAAAATTTAGATATAGCTCCCATATATATCTTCGTCCCATTTACATTTTATTGTGCACTAAACGTGTAATATCAGCCCGAATTGTATGGAATTTTGCACATATGCCAAATTTGATCGGAATCGGTTCAGATATATACCTATAGCTCCCATATGCATTGTTCATCCGATTTGTTATTTTTGTCCACCGCAGCCGTAGTATTCACTCCGTAACAATATTTGTGGAAATATATCAAATACAGCTCAGAAATACATTTGGTAAAATTTATCGAGATCGGTTCAGATTTGGATATAGCTCCCATATATAACTTCGTCCGATTTACCTTTTAAATGGGATGGAATTCGGCACATGCGACCTAATTGAGTCTAGAAGCTAGTATGTCAAATTTGGTGAAGATCGGTTCAGATATAGCTAAAGCTCCCATATATACTGTTCATCCGATTTGTCATATTTGTTACCCACAGCCGTAATATGCACTCCGTAACAACGATATTCAGGGAAATATATCATATACAGCTCAGAAATATCTTTGCAAATTTTATCGAGATCGGTTCCGATTTGGGTATAGCTCCCATATATATATATTTATCCGATTTCAAATTAATTGTGCACCGAATGGGCAATACAAGTCCGAGTTTAAAAGATACAAATTCTTCGGCATATTTAGTCCTTTGAACTTTAAATTATAATTATAATAATAACGTTTATGATTGAATTCTCCCATAAAAATTTTTAATTGTTATGCGAAGCTCTACTAAATTAGCAAAGTGGTGTAGGGTATCATAAA